AGAGGCATTCGTGAAGAGGGAAAGCGGGATTGTGAAAGTCGCCATTTCGGTGAGCAAGATATAGCCCAAGCTTAGTCACAAACGGAGCCGCGATCAGCGGCAGCGTCGATCTTTTAGTTTTTCAGGCTTTTCCAATACCATTTGCAAAAATCGTCGATTCCTGCGGCTCGTGGATTATTTCCAAGGCATCTTGGACACCCAAACCAGCAGAGAAACCTCTAGAAGAACGGCCTCGAGGATTATTTCCTGCGATTATAGAAAAGCATCCGAACTTCGAGGACAGGGTCGAGTCAGAACGTGTCATTATGGAAGCTGGCGCTGTTGGATATTCAGAGCCGGCGCAAACTTTCGCGCGCTCAAGATAGTCAGACCAAGGCATATCCTGAGGAACGAAGGTTCAAGGGAATTGGTCGACTCTGCCTCTGGGAGACTAGCTGTTCTAGGTGGTCGCCGTGGCTCAAACAAGCGCTCTCCAACGTTGTGTGTGTCGATTCCAAGAAAGACGTCCTTTTGGCTCGAAAAAATCGGGCCCGCCTTCCTGGAGTGCCGAAAACTTCCGGGCCTCGATACAAGCCACGAGGAGCGAACCCATAAACGCCCAATCGGAGGTGTACGATGCAGAGATCGTCAGTGACGCGTCTGGGATACGCAGGCACGCGTCGGATTTTTATAGAAATCCCCGCCGCGATGAAGGCGGGATGAGCACATAGGAGGGAAAGGGCGGGAGGTCGAGGAGTTCCTTGACCGAGACCGCCAGAACACCATCGGCATCGGACAAGAAGCCATAGAGGGCAATGAACCGAATGAAACATGGCCTGAACGAGTACCCACGCACGCAAAAGCGCGCCACAAGAGGCATTCCTTGTCGAGTGAACGGAAACCTGGAAGACGACGTACCTACGGAGGTTCACCGCATCACGCCCTCGGCTAGCCATACTTCGCTGATGGAACGCGAGGTTTAGAAAAGTCGTGGGGAGACGTGTATGGATTGGAAGGGGACGGATTGGAGCGGGACAGAAATGCAGAACACCAGTCAGAGCCGACTCCATCACTCAGTCAACTCAGAGATCACCAAAGCATCCAACATCCTGCGAGCAATAAATATGCACCTGAGCACAAAGCTTTGAGGCAGAAGTCATACATAGGTCAGCGTGGCTTTGAATGTTAAAGGGGAATCCATTAATAAAGAGGTATTCTAGTTGGTAACTTCCTCAAAGCCTCTCAAAGCTCGGTTCTCTCCTGATCCCACATCGTCCCTGGAATTATCTCGCGGAGACGCGCTTTGAGCTCTGACATAGACTTTTCCAGGCTCGACATATCAGCGAACAGCAATTTTTCGTTTCCAAAACGTACCGGTCCAGTAACCGCCACTTTGCGCGGAAGCTGCGACAGAAGGTACCCGATTCCAGCGCCTGCGAAATAAAATTAACAGCGGTCCCCAAGATGAGAAGGAATTTCAGACCTTCACACTGTCCGTGCTGATGCGGTGCAGGACCACTCGCTGGAGTGGTAGTGCTGCCCGCCTTCATGACCGGGTCCCGCTCTGTATCGCCAAACGTCGTCCCCGACTTCGCAACATGCTATATCGTCATCTGAGTCAGTCGCTGGCGCATTCTACAACGAAGAAACGCACGCAATTATCCTCTGCCCGGGCGGCCCTCATTTGGCATATCGCTGCCTTCTTGCACGTTGCATCGCAAGGCGCGACGTGGCCCCCGCGCGTCAGGAACGTGTTGTACCGTTCGAACGCCGTCTCATTCTTCTCGAACGCCTCTGTCACGGCGTGCCAAAACGGCGCATCGAGTGGGGCGGTTGGAGCCAGATTGATCAGGGGCCCGTAAGGCTCGGCGCGTGCGCTGTAATAAAGCTTCCACTCCGCTGTTCGTGAGGAAATCAGCGTTCGATGAGGGATACGTATGGAAGTACTGACGTTTCGTTTGGTACCCCGCGCTCTTCAGGTCCGCTATTTATGTTGTTTGGTGAGTAATTTCTAACGGTGCGCCATTTCAACCACAACCATAACTCACCGGAGTAAACTTTAGCGTCCATAATCTCGTACGTGTCTGGGTCCACGTCGTACACCCGGAAGGCTGGGTTCCCGCCTTGATTCGAGAAGAGAAATAAGTAAGTGCGCTGTAAAAGCTGATTCGACACTTACTTCTAGGTGTTAGCGCGGGCGCGATCCAGGATACGCAAACTGCAGTGTCGGCTCCCCGGGCCCCATAGTCCGAGTACGCAATTTCGAACTCATCCTATCGTTGAACCGTTAACAAGTGAACAACCTGCAGGTGACTCACACGAAACAAACGACCCACATAGTGTGTATGCCCGAAGAACTGGCCCGCGATAATCCCGTGGTAGCGCTGCACGATTTGGTCGTAATAATTCGACTTGCCCCACCTCGTTAGCAACATAAATTATTCGAATCAGACTGGAACAAACCTGATCACTCAGCGTATCCTCGCACCCAGGCGGCATGTGTCCAATTATCCACACACGCTCACCTGCTTCTTCGGCCGATTGCAGCTCATTCACCATGAATGCTAATATCCCTCGTGGGTCGGGTCTACGCGGGAAAAAATCAACATGACTTCCTTCCCGCAGGGTCAGTTAAACGCAACGCACTCCGGGGTGTCTGAATCATACAGCCAAAAGCTTGCATGGAATTGCACAGATGAATGACACTCCGGCAAGAAGTTGTGAGAACTCACTTTTGCTTGTACCAATACACCGTATTGATTGAGATGATTCGCAGGTTGGTACCGGGGGCGGTCAAGGAGTAGCTCCCAGAGATGTGCTTTACTTCTCGCGCAGCCGTGCGATTAGTCCAATGCTGCGAAAAACACGGTGAGATGGAGGCGGAGGATATTGAACAATGACGTGAAGTTGAACTGACCGCCCATTCTTTGCCTTCCAAGTCGAACACCCACTGTGCGTCGAAGAAACCTACGGTCGTGTCGCGGGGGAAGTTGTTGACGGGAGCCGAATCGCTGTCAGAGGAACCAGTGAGCGACTCGTCGTGCGTCGAACCCATGGACTTACTGGTTACCTGAATAATTCAACGCACATGAATATTATTGCGAAGATATAAAAACCGTGCCTCCTCACCGATTGCGGGAAACACAGGTGCATTGATCGCAGTCACAAGCTCGTGGTTGAACTTCCGAATGTCGTTGGTTACCTCACTGTCCCCTCGTCAACACCAGCAGCAATTGAAGGTTCGTTTCAACATCAACCACCTTTTGTTCACGAGCCAGACAGCAGCTGTTGCCAGGAAAAATGAGCCTCGATATGAGCATAAACCCGGAATTTCGAACCTTCTACGACATCCCCAGTGAAGATACTCCAGGTGTGATGCGTCGAGATTTGCTCCAGCATCGACTTCGCGAGATCCACTGGATGAATTCAAGTGAGTTTCGATCGACCGAAGTACAAATGAACCAACCTGGACTATCACAATTGGGGTTACCAAATGCCCCGGCCGGTTCGGTCGGTGGTTTCACTTCGTCTGCAAAATCACGACAGCAGATTGGTTTCTTGCAGTTCGCGTCTGAGCCCGTCTACCGTGACTGTACTCAGCTCCGACTGCGATAAGAGGGCAACGGGGACTCACCGCATACTCGCGATCGATGTGAACGTCGCTGAAGTGCACCACTTGGAAAGGCGCCCTCCCAGTAGATGCGGCTTCCTGACGAGCGACCGGTGGCGGGGCGGAAAGCGGGACTTTGTATTGATTAACTGCAGGCGACTGACACAGCCCGAAGGTGCCCTCGCAGAGCATCGTGGCTGTCCTGCCAAAGGGAGAAATATTCCGCAAAGCGTTCGCCAGTATGGGTCCTTGTTCGGTGATGGCGCCAACGCAGACGTCGTCGTCTTCCAACTGTAATCGCATATGATTCAACGGTTGAATGATATAGCGACGCACTCGGAGAGATGCTTGTTTACCTTCAATACTTTGCATGTAGTCACTAGGGTCTTGACGAAAGCCGAGTCACCCAACTCTGCTAGACCTTTGAGAGGGACGAGCAAGGCATGGCATGAGTCGCAATCTACGGCATTTTTCAAGCCGCTGATCAGGTCGTCCGGTTGAGGAAATTTCAGCGCAGAAGCAAAGGGGAGAACTATTAGAGGCAGAAGAATCATTAGAGGGAAGGAAGGTAGGATGGAAGTACTGCATCCACACGTTGCCTTGACAGATAAACTGCACCGGGAGCCGGATAAGATCCCGATCAGGACGTGAATAGACGAGACGCTCGGGGAAGTCGCTCCCGCTCCCAGTGGCGCCGGAGCAGTCTGTGGGCTGTACACGGAGGTTGAGCAATATGAAAAATTGATATGTGTCTACGTTGAGTGACTCGATCAAAACGGGCGAAAGTACTGAGGGTGTAGATATCCCGGAAGATGACATCGGGACATGCGAGGCGCTATGATAATGTTCAGCGATGTTATAACCCGAGGCCGGAGTGAAAGGGCCAGGGGGCGGTGTTCTGCCAGTTGGACCTCCACTGTGTTGAATTCACGTTCCCACGGTTCAACTTATGATCTGTGGGCCTCACCGCCTAGGTTTGGCACCCGCGGCGCGCTGGTCTTGTTGTTCAAGGCATCTTGGGCATGGAGTCTCGTCCGTTCGTTGACCAAATCGAAACCGTTGCCGAACCCAGCTCCCGGGCAGCCAAAATCTCAGCGCGCTGCGCTTCTTGCTGTTACGCAGGCGGCTTGGTTTGAACCCCCAAGCATTGTACTTACCTCTCCAATTCGGAGGATCATCGAGGCGTTGAAACGGATGCCGTGCTAGTAGTGTTGCTCCAGCGCCCCTCGCAAGCCCGGGACTAACGGTAATCGGGCAACCCGGCCTTGCACTATTGGAAAAAACTTCGCAGTTGCTAGTTGCTATTCCGAGTCGCGGCCCACGGTGAATGCTGTTGGGACCGATGTCTAACAAAAGAGCGGTGAGAACATTGGAACTATAGCGGGCGTGTTACTTGGCGGTGTAACATGTTGTCTCTGTAGTATAGTGGTTAGTACTCTCGCTTGTGGAGCAGGAGCGGCCTAACGATAACGCGAGCGACGTCGCGGCCGGGGACATACTTTTTACGCTCCCCTCCTCCCGACGCTCATGCGGGGTGACTGGGAATCGATGAACATGTACGCGTCGCCAGGACACGGGAGGTTGAAATCACCTGACCGCGTTGGGCATGTTCCCACGGTTCAAACCGTGGAAACATCAATTCTGATCGGCTGCGGTGACACTCGTTGCCCGTGAACCTGCGGCATACCTGCGGAGCCACGGACTTCGCTTCTGAGTACGCACCGCGCTCCCTTTGAAAATGCTCTGCTCCTTTCTGGCAGTCGTTCTGGTCGCCTTAACCGTCTTCTCCGTGGCACAACAAGAGCCACTCCGATTATCCTCGGACAACAAGATACTGACACCCGAATTCGACGCGGACATCGATGCAATTTTGAAGCAATGCAACTCTCCTGGTGGCGTTGGCGTTGCCGTCGTTCACAAAGACCCCGAGTCTGGCGAATGGACGGTAGAGACGAAAGGCTATGGTATTGCGAAGATCGACGGGACCAAGGTGACGAGCGACACCCTCTTCTGCATTGGGTCCAATTCGAAGGTGAGTTCTCCCTTCAGTGTCCATGTTGTTGGATGTGAACCCATGACAGCTGTTCGATATACTGGCAACTGGACTGCTTATTGCCAACGAGAGCCTGGCGACGCGAATCTCTTGGAATACGAAGATTGCCTCTGTGCTGCCCGACTGGGGATTGATGGATCCTGTGGCGTCGGCGGAGAGTACCATCCTAGACGTTATGAGCCATCGTACTGGGCTTCCTCGGCATGACCTTCTCGCTCACGAAGATGTCCACGAAGTTGTATGTCCTCTCTCGTCAATTCAATTTCTTCTCTCTAAACGCCGGAGTCAGATCCGAGGTCTCCGCTACCTCAAACCGTCAACTGGGTTTCGCGAACAGTTCCAGTACAACAACCACATGTACACTCTCCTCTCCGCTCTCCCCCCACTCCTCGCCGGTATCCCGTTCGAGACGTACGTGAACGATTTCATGCTTGAGCCCCTCGGGATGACATCCACGACCTACTACTCAAAAATTGCGGCGGAGAGCGGGCATCTTGCCGAGGGCCTTGGACGCGACGGTGTGAACCGAACCGAGGATCCGTTCGGGGTAGGGCGTGTCCAACCGCTCCCATACTGGGCTCCGAACGACGGGGTTCCGGGAAACGGTATGCAGCTGCATGTGGATCCCACCTCGACTAACCAGCGAATTTTAAGCGAACTCTGGTGATGGGGGTGTGATTTCCAACGCGAAGGACATGGTATGTCTGCTTGTCACTGTCCCGCGTCTATTTACCCGTTGCTTACTACGTGTCTCAGGCCATTTGGCTTCAAACTCTTCTCGGCGAAGGCCGTCACCCCACCGAAAACAAAACAGTCATTCCCGCCGAGGTTATCCGTCGAGTGTCTGCTGGGATCACGGTTGCTCTCCCGGTCGCGTATATTAATCACCTCGCATCGTTCGTGTCTTGCAAACTAACGCAGAAATTCTAGACAATTTCCTGAAGGTTCCCCGAAGGTTTATGGCGGGGGGCAGTTTCGTGGGACGTACCGTGGTTTTGGTGAGTCTTACGGCCTAGTTGATGGGTTTTTCATTCAATTCCGTGGTATTAGAATACATCGATGTGAGTGTTCTGCAAATCTTACTTAGACTCCAGTTCAAGCATGACTGATCTTCATTAGCATGGAGGCGCAGTGTGGGGTACGTATGCATACCTTGCCCTTATTTCTCATACGACCGCCAATCAACTCATTCGCGCCGACTAGGGTTCAAATCAATGATTGCCCGCATTCCTGAGCGAAACCTCGGAGTTGCCGTCCTCTCGAACGACGACACTTTCGGTGCACAAATAGCAGAAGCGATCAAATTTCGTATCCTGGACGAAGCTCTAGATCTCGAAGTGGTAGACTGGACCGAAAGGTAGTGTACATAGCGTCTTATGGATTCGCTCATTCCTGATTCAACCCCAGGTTCAAGTCTCTAATCGTCTCCGGCATCAAGAATAGTGTCGGTGCGACACCAAGGCCGACGAAACCATCACCGCCTTCCTTCCCTATGACCAGACTGGCTGGAATATATAGGCACCCTGCATACGGAACCCTCGAGTTGTGTCATATGCCTGAATCCGCCATTACACCCCCAAGCTCGGAGTCGTGTCGTCGGCTCCTCGACGAGATTCCCACCACTCTGCCGGACGTCCTCGATCCCCAGATCCCGACATTTGTGGCAAGGTGGAGAGGGACCGACGTGACCCACCTGTCGCTCGCTCATTTTGAACACAATTTATTCAACGCGTCGGCTTTCTACAGCGTTGTGAGTCTTTTCCCTCTTCTTCCTCTCCTTTGGACCGCGCTCATAGTTGGCTCGGATAGCCTCAACACAACTCATCCGCGGGGTACAACTGGGTGACGGCCTTGACCGATCCAGGATTGGTGACTGAGTTTTCGTTTTCAAACGAAGACGATTCGATTGGGGTTGGCTTTCGCGGAATTTGGGGGGCTGGGGCTGGCGTCCCAAGTCCTAGCGGGGCTACGGTGAAGGATCGGGCTGAGGTTTGGTTTGAGAAGATTAATTGAGCTCGATGTTTTGAAACTTGGAGTTCGAGATGTTGACTCGCGATTGGTTTATTCATGGTCAATTCGTATGTACACTGAAAACAAGTCATGCTCGCCAGAGCTTTCGGAAGTGATTTACCTCCATAAAGACCTCCGTCGGCATTTGTCTCTCCGTCGGCGTGATCGCATTGCCAGCGCATCACCTCTCACCAACGGCCATCGCCCCTGCGCCATTGAACGCTCCCGCCGCAGTCGCAGCTCAAGAGCATACTTAAGGATGGCGACCGGCCAGGACCAGTGATCACCTCCAAGAAATTAAGAGTCACTTCCGAACCACACACACTTCAGAATGACGACGACGACGGACCTCGTAACTCATTATAAGGACTGGCCGAACGATGCAGGAGTGAGTTGAAGATATCCTTAGCGGAGAAACCCAAAATTCTCACTTCCGACACGCAGTTCAATACCGAAGTCGAGCATCGCGACCCAATCACCCTCAACATCACTGGTGCCATTCCAGCATACGCCGCCGGCACCCTAATCCGCACTGGCCCAGGGAGCCACAAGGTTACCACGAAGGATGGAGGAGAATTCGCATGTAGTCATTGGTTCGTCGCAGTTACGGTAATGCATCCATAAATACTTACACCACGTTTAGGTTCGACGGCTTTTCTCACCTCTACCGCTTCGAGCTCGTCCCAAATGACGATGGAACCTGTCGTGTGCTCTACAGTTCGCGCCGCCAGGTCGATCAGCTCATCGAGCGCGTGCGCAAGACCGGGAGGCTTGACGGCGTCACGTTCGGCCAAAAGCGCGATCCCTGCGATACCTTGTTCAAGAAGGTCAAGACTGTCTTTGAGCCAACGGTGGAAATCCGAACCGCAGAGCTCGTTAATGCGGGTGTGTCGATCTCCGCCAATGTTCCCGGGTTTGCGAAGAGCAAGTCGAAATTTGGTAACTTCGTCACCTTCACGGACTCCGCGTCCATAAAGACGCACGATCCCGAGACGCTTGCGCCCCTCGGAGTGACAGACCAGCGGGTACTTCATCCCTCCTTGACGGGCCAAACCTCGTGCGCCCACCCCGAGTTCGACCCGGAGACTGGCGATATGTTCAACTTCAACCTCGACTTCGGCTCCACGCCCGTTTATCGCGTCTTCTGCACCTCCGCCGCCACAGGGAAAACCACGATTCTCGCCAAGTTGAGCGGCAAGGACGCGAAGGCGGCATACCTCCACTCCTTCTTCCTCACGGAGAACTTCCTCATTCTGTGCGTCTGGCCCTCGTACTTTCAACTGGGTGGCGCCGGGATACTCTGGCAGCGCAACATCCTCGACGCGCTCGCGGATTTCGACCCCTCGGCCAAGACGAAATGGCATGTAATCGACCGGCGGCACGGGAAAGGCGTCGTTGCCATGTTCGAGAGCAGCGCGATGTTTGCGTTCCACTCCGTCAATGCCTACGAGACCCCCGGAAAAGGTGGCGCCCTGGATATCATCTGCGACGTCGTCCAGCTTCGCAATCTGGACATCCTGAAGAAGTTTTATGTGAGTATCCGCTTGCTCGTTCGTCCAATCCCATCCGCTAACGACGACCTTGAACCAGTACGACAACATGGTCTCCACTGCGCCGAATGCTGGCAAGCGCACGTTCGACTATGTGGCTGGGAAGGACGGGATGGCGCGGTACAAGCTCGCCGGAATCCCCACCGCCACTGAAAACCCCTCCTCCTCCAAGCCGCTACGATGCGCGGCGGAGCTGGTGTTCATCATGCCCCCCTCTGCCACAGGCGAGCTCCCCACCATCAACCCCGCCTACCACACCAAGCCGCACCGCTACATCTACGGCGTCGGCGACGGGCGGCAGAGCAGCTTCCTCGACTCGCTCGTCAAGATGGACACGGCGACGCAGACGGGGCAGGTGTGGAGCGCGGCGGCGCAGACGCCTGGAGAGCCCATATTTGTTGCGAATCCGGAGAGGGAGGACGAGGACGAAGGGGTGGTGCTGAGCGTGGTGCTGGACGGCATGTCGGGGTGCAGCTATCTGCTTGTGTTGGATGCCAAGACGTGGACTGAGGTCGGGAGGGCGGAGGTCCCTGCGGCGGTCGGGTTTGGATTTCACGGGATGCATGTAAGAGTCTGAACAGTGCATGAGTGCGCAAAAACGATCTCGTAGTTTGTCATGTGTTGTACTTTTTGGCTTCATTGCATTTTCCCGTATCTATCGATGTAACTTGAACCCCCGTGCAATAGTTCGCGGCTTCAGTTAGAATCCAAAGTGAACCGTGGGAACACTCGAACGCGATCAGGTGATTGAGACTACTCGTTCGCTATACCGTATACGGTGTACCCATTGTATGGCGGAGGGAGGCGTCGGAATCACGGAGAGAGAAAATGCCTGAAGTGCTTCCCTTCTAGGTAGAAATTGATAACCCCTCGGACCGGCCTC